GTATTATATTTGTTATTACTTGTGCTTTTATTATTTTTCTTCTTTATTTCAGGTATTTCTCTTAAATTTTATCAATTTTTGAGTACTTTATCTGGTTAATGGAACATTAGTTGATCTTTGATACTTTTATGATTGATTCAGAGTAGAGCTAATAATATTAAAATGAATATTAAAAATATTTTTAACAATAACATTTTAAATGAAATATCTTTTGAATAATTTAAAAGTTATAATTTTTTCCTTATTACTAGTTTTCTACACAAAAATTATGAATTATACATATTGAGGTGTTTCTTGTAGCCTTCTTACAAATTTTAAATGATTGTCAGAATTTTATAGGTAAAGATTTAAAAACTAATTGTTTGCTCTCATGTTTATGATTCTCCCAGTACAATTTTGTTGCCTTCAAGGGGTTGTTCCCAAATTACATTGGTTTCATGCTGGAATGAGATCATCTCAGTTCAACCACCACTCAAAGCATCACTCTTACCCACAAAGCATCACTGGCTTCCACCACTCTCAAAGGTACAAAGGGTGAGCTGCAGGTTCTTACCTTCCATTGCTTCTGGTGGTTCTATACCTGCATAAACACAGAATATTTCTGTCTCCAACTGATATATATTATAAATGGCTAAAATCTATTTCCTACTTCTTTTTTTTTTTCCATTACATAAACAGCGTGTTAGGAGCTAATTTCTGATCTCTACTTGAATGCTTGAGTAACTTTTAATTTACTGTCTAGTTTTCAAACCCCACCATGTGAACTCTTATTAAAATAATAATAATGACAGCAAGAGCTGTGGCCAAGAGAATAGTATTTAGGCAGTGAATAGGAGCTTTCAGAAAGCCTATAGTAGTTTGAAAAACATTCTATACAGAGTGTCAGAAATTTAAATTATTTGGAAGTTGCCAACCAGGGAGTGATGCTTAATATCCTTTAGAAACTCCCTGGGCTTCCACAGACTGCTTGGGAAAGTCAGCTTCAGTTCTGGGAAAGTGCATTCCCTCATGCATTGCGATGTATTTCTGCAAACTCACTATGGAGCAGAACAAGTTTTCCAGTGGTTCTGCATCTGTTCCTGCTCAGCCAAGGTGCCTCTGGGAATAGATTTCCCCTTGCAGCAGCAGGTGGCATTGAACAGCTCACGTTATTCTCACTCTCATAATCATTTTGTCTTACATGTAGTAAAAACTTCTCTCCCAAAAGAGAGAATCTGCAAGAGAAATTCAACAAGTTTTTATAGATGGAGCAGGCTTCCTACATGACTAAAGTAGGGATAAGTTCTTCCAACTTTAATCACACTGAGAAATAAGACTATAAATAATGTATTTAAGCGACAGCAAAAACAGGTGTGGTAGAGGAATATCTTAATTGCATTTCATTTTCCTATCCACAAAAATCTCTTAAAAGGACACAGAGTTCTTGTTGTGATAAGGTCAGGTTATCATGTGCCAGCTCATTCACTCTCCAGCAGATACACAAACCTGAGCTGGTCTGTTGCTTTCTTTCCACACTCTACCTCCACAGCCAAAGGAATGGTTCTCCTCCCAAATACATTGTCAGTGTGTGTTCGCAGAGCACAGGGCAGTGCTGCAGATTTACCCCACAGCAAGTGAGAAAAGAATGAGAATTATCATCTTCTGAACTGTTATGAAACTGCTTCCAAAAATCAAGGGGCATTGCAGAAGAAGTTCAAAACACCTCCAAATGATTTCATAAATTTATTTTTTAAATATGACATGCACATTAAAAAATATATATTTTTACCTGCACACAGGTAACATTTAAAAACAGAAGTTTTTAACAAGCAAATAACTATACATCAGTTTATATAGTTAGTCTTTGCTCTAATTGTGAGTATTTAAGAAATCCATCCATCTTTCTTTCATCAACAGTCAGAGTTTTCCATTTGCATATCTAATAATTTATGGCATGTCCTGACCCCAAGCAGTAATTGAACCAATAGATCTTCAGCCTAGATTTACTCATCTGGCTGCCACAGTAATGTAACTCTGCAGGAGTTTTGGATTACTCCAAATGCCATCTCCTCTTCTGAGAGGTTGACAGTCACAGGCAAAATTTGACCTCCCAAATGTCAAGGCAAAAACTCTGTTGCCTAATTTAGACTAACTAACTCTCCTTTTGGAATACTTCAGATAAAAACAAGAAGGCACAATGATTTCTACCAATGTTACCCCAGAAAGATGATCTTTAATGTAAGACTCTGTAATGATAAATGAATTCTCCTTGGAGTTTAGAGCCATGTAAGAGGGGAAAATCTATGTACCAGAGCTTGTAAGAAGTAATGTAAAAACTAAGGGGGAGTGGAGGGGAAGGGAAGAGAGAAGCTGCTACATTAGAGAGGAATCTGATTATCAGAGCCAGACTGATGAGGCTTGAGCTGAGAGATTTGGAGGGGCAGATGGGGTGCTTTTCTGCCTCAAGCAAGCCATGGCACAGGGCAAAAACACCCAGCCAAGAGCCTGTGTTTCATCTTTTCAAAATGTGGTTTAGAAGCCAATTTCAAGGCAGCTTTATATGCCTCAGTAAAGTGTTCTCAAAAGCTTTGAACAAGAAAAATGCCAGCAAACACACAGCCCTGCACTGTTGCAGTGCCGTTGCTGAATACTAACTATGGAGAAAATGCAGTTGTGGGTTTGCAGCAGGTAAACCCCGGGAAACTCCCTTTGCTATTCAGGCACTTGTGGCTGTGGTGGGGCAGGTGCAGAGACTGCTCACACTGCTGCTGCTTCCAAGCCATGGATCAGATATTATGAACGGGCACTGGGTTTGAAATTTTGTAACCCTCATCTGTTGGCTATTTTGTTTTTCTGGAAAGGAGCTCTTTTGAATAAGCCCTGGCAGACACACAGAGCTGTGCTGTTGCTACTGACACGAGTCCCAAAACAACACATACAGGCTGTGAGAAAATGCTACTGTCTCACAACTGTGGAGCTAAAAAAAACAAAGAGCGGCAAAGGTACAAACAAGGAAAATCTGACCAGTCCCCAGTTAATGGCATAAACAGTATTTATCTATTGATGATTAAGTGCTGCCCTTGTTCCTTGGTGGCGAAGTTCAATGATGATAGACATCTTGGAAAACAGGTAGATAGATAGAAAAATAGATATCCTCAGCTACTTCAGCTATCCATAACATGCCATGTGCTGCCATCACTGCTTTAGCCTGACCAATTGCCTCAGTAACCTGTTCCATCTTGTCTGATCAATATTAGCACTTCAGTAACCCTGCAGAGCTGCAGCTATCTGCTAGTGCAGGAAGAATCTCATCTTGCTTTCTTGTATAGAAAGAGTCATATGGAAGAAGAAAAAACATTGGCTATTTAAATATTTTCATTTAATTGCTCTCATCAGCTTGTTTATTTGCTCTGATACCTTTTGTACCTGTTCTGCAAATACTTTAGAGCAAAGCGAAAAAACTGAATTATCAGAAAATAAATGGACACTGGAAGAGTTTAACAAGAAATCTGAGTTTGGTGCCCAGTCTCCTGTCCAAGCAATTACTGTGTGCCTCAGTTCTTTAGAATTAAATGGGATTTATGACACCATTAAATCACCTGTTGTAAAGCTAAGGATATTCATGTGATTAGTAGATCTACATGAGAATAAGACCCAGAGGCAGAATTGCTGCTGTTTCCTCCTGAGATTAGGAGCTGACTGTGATACTGAAGGAGACATGATACAGAGGTGAAGGATCAAAAAGTCCATGTGCAGTATGGGAAGAAAGAAAAAACATCTGTTTTTTACCTCACGAAGTCTTTCATTACCTGGCAAACAAGGACAGAGTAGAATAAAATATTATTCTCCCTGCTGCTGTAAGTGTTTCTGGTAAGAGTCTGGAAAAATAGCAAATACCAGTGAGAGACAGAAACTGGGGCCTCTCCCTTGGCACCTTGAGGACATACAGAATGATGGGAAGGTTTCTGTGTTGTCTTTGTCATCTTTGAAAGTCCTCTTTACCTCACTGCACAGGGCAATAGGAGCTAAATCCTGTTTTGTTAACGTGGAGCAAAGCTCTGTTGAAATGATCTGCAAAAGTATAAGGAGAGACAAAATATCCCTTCCCTATAACTTGTTGATCTCCAGCATTTCTGGTTTCTCTATTAACATTGACCAGCCACCATTTCTGTCCTCTTCTCTTTTTTTTCCCCTCCTTTCCTGTCAGGTTCCTTCAGCCATGCTTTTTTTTCCAGGTGGAAGATGAAAGAAAGGTACAGATAGAGAATCAACCACCTAAGCATCATAAGGCTAAATATTTGTCCACTTGCTTAAGATGCAGTAAGTCCTGGAGTAGTCTCTGTTTATCCAAGAGGATTTCAGCATAGAAGCTTGCTCCAGAAAGCTATTTGTTTAGAAAATAAAAAAATCCTGTAGATCAGTGTAATCTCTGTTGCTCTAGGAATAACTGAGTGTAATGTGGTGTGGGTGGGTGGGGTTTTTCTGCTTAGTAAAGCAGCAGCTCATGGGAAAGACTAAGTGCTATAAAGTCTGCATCCTAGAAGAGTCAGAACCTCAACATCAAATGTCAGAAATTCTGAAGGTTGAGGCTTTTCAACTGATATTTTAAGTTGTTGCTGAGCAAAATTTTCATTTAAGTCAAAAGAATGGGTTTGATCCTTCAGGTTTTTCCCTTATAAACTTCCAGACAGCAGCCACATGACAGGATCAAAATCTCATCATGTTCTTCAGGACAAATGCCTCTTCCAAAGACAGGGTAGAAAAGACAATGGTGCTGAGAACTTCATTGCTCATGAACAACTCTGAATTTTGCTCTACAGAGGGAGAATATTGAAGAATTTTCACCCCAGCTCAAGTTTTATCATGGTGAAGACAGCACAGTATAACAGATTAAGCTACTGCAAGAGGTGGTACAGGAAAACATGCCTTTAGAAGGAGGATAAAATATAAGAAAGCTCAAGCAAATAATAAGTTTGTTTCTGACTGAAAGTTAGTTTTCCTTTTTTCATCCCATTTTTCAGGTTAAAGTCCGTGAGCAAAAACCATGTGCATTTGGTGGATGATGGTTCTGCAAAGATGACTGACAGGCAAAAACCACAAGTACAGCAGCATGGCACAGCAGAAACCAGCTTCATTGGAGATAGCAGATGGACAGAACACTAGTAGTTATGCTTAATTTTACATTTTTTCCATTATTTGTTCATTAAAGATTTAAAAAATTATTTGAGCATTTGTACCAATGAGGCTGTGATTTGCTATAAGATTTAAAGTATACCTTTGGATAATTTCAAATTGTTTTCTGTCTTTATTTGACTGAATTTTCTGCACTGAAACTGAATCAAACCATTGATTTATCAGAACTGTTTTATTCCTCATTCTAGATCTGTGCAGATCTGTTATAAGCCCAGAGCAGTAGAAAGTTGCACCTGTAAATATTTTAGAGAAAGATTCTGTTCTATGGAACTTTATGCTGCTTTTAACTGGTTCTATTGAGTGCTTTACAGAAGCTCATTTGGGAAATGTATTCTTTGGTAATCAATTGATCAACATTTGAAGCTGTGCTCAGACACACAGCTATTGTGAAGAGCAGTTCTTTCAAATATCCATTTGATTGTGTTTGTGATGCTTGCTTTATTCAACTCTGCTCCAGGCAAATTAAAATGTACTGCTATATAATAAGTATGGGAAGGTTAGCATTCACAATTTAGGAATAAAACATTTTGACAGTTCTATTCTACATTTGCATTTAAAAATCGTAATGCATTTGATTCGAGCCTATGTTTATTGTAGGATCTCTTGTAGGCATTGCTGCTGTGAGATTGTTACCTTTCAGGATTTGTTCTGGACTGTGTGTCTGCGGGGGAGCACAAAAGCCTGCTGGTTCCACAGGGGTGTTATTTGCTGGTCCATGGTATGTCTCATTTTCTTTAATTTCTGATGGGCCTCCACCTGCACTGCTGCTGCTGAGTCATCTGTGTTTGTCTGAGATATTTTTGGTGTGCAGAGTTAGGCAGGTAGGTGTGCATTGTTCTGCCTCATATGCTTGCCATGTTCTTCAACTGGCCCTCCAACTCTCAGCTTTTGGGGCACTGTAGAATCCCCATGGGGACAGAGGCAAGCATTGTCTGGGCAGCTTCTGCCACAATAACCATTGTCCTTGCTGGTGAACAGGTGATGCTCAAGCACAACATGTGCACAGACAATGGGCAGCATTCTGAGCTCAGGAAAATGATCACTGACACGGGCTGATGTCTGAAGGATGGGTCACTAGAACTATCAGGGTTCATTGCCCCCCTTTTATTTTATCTGTCATCTTTCTGCATTAGGAATGTTCAGGAGGGGTTCAAGTAACCTGATATAACATCTGCAACACTGCTATCACCAAGAAATCATTCATTCAGATAAAAAGGCTGTCTCAAGATACACTGTCTCAAGAGACCATGTGTAAATTAGACCAAGTTATAAAAAACCCCTAAAACTAACAAGTACACTGGCTAGATAGTTCAGACTTTCCAGAAGAGCAGAAATAAGGGGGGAAAATTGTAGGGTTTATAGAAAAATGCATTTGAGCTGAAGTAAGGCCTTCTCCCCAGTCTTTTAGCCAATCTCTAGAGACTTTGTGTAATTATTAGAGTTCCCTTGGGAAGGATATGGACTTAGGTGATAGCAGAAATCTTGTACAATGAATTCTCCAGGAGTCCCTTTCTACATTATGTCCCATTACTCTGCCTCCAAAGCCCTGAAAATTCGTACACCCTCCAACTGCTGTGAATTGTCATTTTCCATGCCTTCCTTCACATCTGGGAGCTGTTTCTTCTGACTCAGCAATAGATAGCAGAGAAGGGATGGACTCTGGGAATTCAGAGATATTATGTGCACAAAGTCCTTTTCTGATTGTGAAGAGAACCACTGGTAAACCCTCTCTGTGCTCCCAGACTGGGTCTTACACTGAAAAACTTCAAAATCTGAATTACACAGAGGCTATGCAGCACTATGGGTAAGTACTTTCGCCTTTCATGTCTTATTATGTTGTTAATTAGTTAATGTTTGTAAAGCACTTTGAAGATGAAAAGCCCTATATAAGTTCTAAGTGTTATTATCTCTAGAGACCTAGGTTCAATTCAAAGGTGCTTAATTACATATGCCATAAATTAGACTTAATGAGTTGTAGAATCATATATTTTATGCAACGCATGCAGATTTCTCAGACAGAGCTGGGTCTTATGGTCTGCTGCAGTACTTCTTTAGGTATTCAGAGTTGTTAAGAAAATTGCACAAAAATAGACCAGATAATTTCCAATAATGATTGGATTGCATTTCAGTACCATTCAGGTCCTGTGGAGCAAACCACTGGGAGCTTGGCTCAGCTGTATCTAGGGATTTTCCAGTAACCAAATTGCTGAAGATAACACTTTTGGGGTTAATTTAATTATGATTTACACATAATTCTAATTCATACTTCTGTATTTTGGCTTAGCAGAAGGGTGCTAAGAGGTATTGGTATAACTCTTGTCCTTCCAGTAAGACCCTGAAATGTCCCATTAGAGGGCCACTTCATGCTGGGTTATGTTCACAAGCATAAAAAAATAACTTCCCTTCTCTAGAGATACCACTGTGTAATTAACAACAAGCCATTACGAGCGAGTAGCCTGCAAAAAGGGGAAGCCACAGTTATAGGAAAATGTGGTTTCATTGGCTTGCAGAGCTGAGAATTTCCATGTTTTGTAACTTACATAATTTGTGGCCAGAAAGCTGCAGACTTTGCCCTGCTCCAGCCCCAGCAGCAGCGCAGATGCCCATGGAGAGCAGGTGGCTTCTCCTGGCTCTTGCCCAGCCAAGATAGTTCAGAGACACACAAGACCAGCAGCATCACCCACCCCACCTAGAGGGGCTCTCATGTGTTCCTGCAGCAAGATATTTCCCTTTAACCTTGGGCCTTCCACGGGCATATAGAGGGAGGCAGGATTTATGCTGCGTATAAATATGTTAGGAGTGATTGTGTTCGTTAGTACAACACAAGTAGATTGGAAAAACTATTAGCAATTTACTATGAGTGTCACTAACAGACTTACTTGAAAGTATTTATCCCAAAGTGAAAGTCATTTGATTTGGTTAGTGTTTATTGCAAGCATATGCAGACTGTCTTCCAGGGAAAAATGTATTTTTGAGTGCCAGACAAGTGAAACTGGTGAGCCCGCAGTCCCGAGAAAGCATCTGGAACCGCAGCCAAAAGGGGAACAATGTTTCTGACATTCTTTCAAGACATGTGTTTGAAGCATGGGTTCCCATCACTTTCAGAGCCACTTGCAGGCCTTTTTCTTTATATAGATTTAGACAAGTCAACGTGGGCCTATATTCAGCGTGATAAATGCCTCTGTGATTTCTTCCTCATCCATTCTCTACTGTTATTTTTATGTTTATTTTGAACAGAAGTGTGTTCCTTAAATGGGCCAGAGGACAGTTCCTGACAGTGTTTCTCACTTACTTTTCCATATTCCCAAAAAATTGATCTAGTCTTACACCATATTACTGGGGTGCATCTCTTTCAGAAACAAGACATGATTTTGATTAATACTTTTCATATACTTTAACAAATAGGAACTTCACATGAATGCTGATTTGAGATCCAGGCTGTGGTTAAACGTTTTAATAGTGCAGCAAACTTATCAACAAACCTTTCCTTCCCTACCCTACCCCCTTCCCTTTTTACAATGAACAGATTTTTATCCAACTAACTTGTGACTAGGGGATTTTTACAAGCAGGTTTAGGAACTTGTCAGATATTTGAAAATTTGAGTCTGAAAACAAACTAGAAAAATCTCATAACTTGAAAGCCCAATAATTTATGCCGTATGTATTTACTGGGTAAATTTTTTGACTCTCTGAAATACATACAGGACTCTATTCTCTGACCTAACTATCAGCACTTAACTAGCAGTTACCAGTCTGATGCCTTTTTTAATACTTCAAGACACCACTTAGCTGCACGACACTCTTTATTTCCAAATTCCTGTAGTCTTTTGCCAAAAGGCGATAAGAATTTTCATATTGGTTTTATTTAATCTTGACATTGCCAGCCTGTCTCCTTTCCTCCTCTGTTTCCAAGATGTCAGTGACTGACACTCTCTGGCAGCGATAATGCTATTGCTCAAACATGAGAGAAGAATCTCTCTGAGCGAGTTGTGAGCTTGAGCAGCTGCACTCAAGTGCCTGTTGCAGAGACATCAGGCAGCAGGGACAGCTGTGCAGCAGAGAGCACCTTGACACGTCCAGTGCAGAACTCTGGTCACTTGGTGGTTGTGTCTGGCTGGGAGTTTTACAAAAACTAGCCATGCTTTTGGTTTGTGGCTTCCTCAGACATTTTCCTGTGTTAAGTCCCTAATTTAACAAAGCACTGATGTTTCTCCTCTGAAAAGCTGTGACTGTGGAAATATTGCCCCTGCAGGAGGTCTGGAAGACTTCTGGACCATTACTGCTTCTGACTTCCTCTCTCTGTGAGCAAAGGGTTATCACAGGTCAACTGCAGAGTGTAAAGTGTGGCAGCAAATTGTGGGGTAAGCTCAGATTTAATATTGATGTGTCTTTATACCTCAGTGGATGCAAATCATCCGTGCCTCCTAAGAGAATATGGTACACACGTATGTGAATCTGCACAAACTTGTTGGTTTCTGCTATTTCACTGGGCCTGTGGATTTTTTTTGTCAGCAAACATGAAAATTGTACTACTGGTCTGCTGCATGGTTTTTGAATTCTTTTCTTTCTATAGTCATGTTGCAGAAAGAAAGAAAATCAAATGCAAAATTTAAAAAACAAAGAGCATTAAGAAATAGGTTTACAGATATTTAATTCCAAGAGTAGCATTATGGCACCAAATATTTTAATCTCATGCACACAATATCACGTACATGTTACTTCAGCAAGAAGCTCTGTCCTCTGTAGCACACCTTCAGTTCAACCCTCAATTCAGTAAAATATTTCTATTCTGAATGATAGTTAAGTTTAAGTTTACACGTCTGCAAGTCCATTGTATTTGATGTCTGAGGTTAATGAGGTTAACAACAGGCTGAAGTGCTGTCCTGAACCAGAGTTTGATTTGACAATGTGTAACAAAGTACATGTGTACACCAAAATTTCTATTTTAAAGTTTCCTCAGGAAATAGGCAATAAAATTATTTTAAAAGTATTCATCAGGAAATCTGCTTTATTATGACTATCTCTTTACAGTTAAGCCTAAACTTAGTCATGCATTAGGTGTTGGTTGAAATTTTGATTTAAGTAGGAGCACAATCCATGACTTTATGCATGTATCAGGACAGATTTATGAATTGAGGTGTTAAAGTTACACTGTTGCTTCACAAAGGATATCAGAAAGCTGTTAGATTTAAAAATTAACAACTCCATAAAGATGGAGTTTGTCATGGAAATGTCATCACATCAACTAATTGCCATTACTCATTCACCCCATTAGAGTAATTATTTGTAATTGTTATTATTGTAGCATATGTCCACCATTTAAGCAGTGCATATTCCTGGGAAGAGCTGGGTCATTCATGAGAGAAACTGAGAAACTGAGTTGAAAATGTAAAATCGGGTGGGCAGATGGAATTATTTGATTTGCTTTTAAATGAATTTATAATTTTTTCTCTTACTTCCTTATACAGGCAAACAGGAAAGCAAGCTAATGCTGTCTACTGTTTTCACAACAAAAAAAGTCAGAAATATCATAAACACTGAAAGACATCTTGAATAAAGAAACACTTTACTTTGGTGGACCCAGTCTTCAGGGGTACATTCAGGTACCTGTGAGCCAGCAAGGCACACTCAGGTGAGCTGTGAGCTTTGGCCCTGTGTCATGAGAAAGGTAGAAATGGCCCTTCAGTCATCAATGAGCAAAGAGTAAATCCACACATAACCTGTGTATGGACCCCTCTGCTAGCAGACAAAGTCAGGGTATTTACAGAAAATCTATTGCAGTTGTTCTTGTCTTGCCTTGATAATGGGACTCATACTGGTGTGATTTAAGAGTCAGAATTAAAAAATAATCAAAACCTGCAATTGCTTCATCTAGATTTCTGGGAGGAACCATTGAATCTTTGCTCAGAATTACCCACAATTATGAAAAAATGCTCTTTTGTTCTAACATTAATTTGCTTACAGATGGATTTATAATATCCTTTAAAAAATTGATGTTACACCCATCTGCATGTGCTTAAGCTCAGTCTGCTAAAATGTATTGCTTGAGCTCATGACGAAAGCTACTACTATTGTTTGCCTGCACAATACAAAAGGAAATAAAATGAAGGGTTCAGAATGGACTGTTGCAAATCAAGACTTCAAAATCTCAGTTAAACTGCTTTTTGTTCAGTATCTTTTATTACAAGAACAGGCACTTATCGTGGATATTTGGGATATTTGGCAGTAAAACTGTAATACTGAATGTTCAGATGATGAAGAAGCATTATTGTCTTCCAATGCCACTAAAGTTGAAGTTTCCATTTACATCATTTTTAATAATTGAGGTGTTTGGTTCTTTTTCCACAAAGATCTCAAAGAGATAAGTTAAGCCTATTAGCCTGAATGTAGCAGTTAATATGCTGATGTTAAGAACATACTTAAAGCCAAGAGCTCTTGGCTAGGCATTTTGACTCATTAAGGGAGAAATAAATGTCAAAATGAAGAAGGTAAAATTGTAATACAAAATCTATTAATAAAGCATTCTGAAGAAACTGCCTGTTATTTGTTACCAGAGGAGTTGATATACATTTCTGTAATGAACAAAAAGGTTATCTATAAGAAAAAGTTCTGTTCCCTTGCTTACACTAAGGGAATTTTATATCAAATGTTTAGAGAAATGCTCCTTCATTGTTCCAATCATAAGATCAGTGTCCAGTGAATAGCACTTCGTGTAGTCTTACAATCTGACATCCTATGTCCAATCAACTTGTGGGAAGTGATGGAAAGAGCTTTTTAAATGCCACAGAGAGGTGATAGCCTGGAAAAAGCTAATTAAAGAATGTTTTAAAATTGTGTTCCTTAGGATCTTTCACTAAAAACAAGCTCAATTGTAAAAAAAACTGACTAAGAGTGTGCTGATGTCACTACTGCAGCAGTAGTCCAAGTGTAGATTGTATATTGCTTAAATGATTCAGATACTTTGATATGGTTTGGCAAATGAAAACCTTCTCTTACTATAAGTCATTTTTAGCATCTGGATTTGCATGCATGTATTATATCTGTTATATTAATTACATCTATTTTCACAGGTATAGACAGACGTACCCCAGTCATGTGGCGCCCATGAATAGATCCAGTGAGCCTGTGCAGCTGTGTTTTGATCAGCAAAGAGATTTCCTGGCATCAAGAACTGAAATCACCTTGTGGGTATGACAAGCACATCTAAGTATGTAGCAAGTGAAAATCAAGGGTTTCTGTAAGGAAGAAGTAAGGACACCTACCACAAAAAATTAAAGGTAAAATAACCTTTAATAATTGCAACAATGCAAACCCCATTCTGTGCATTGCTCTAAGTTGGCATTTAGCCATCCATCATTTGCTGGCTTATAAAGCTGATTTGTGCTTTTTCTTCCTCTCTCTGTTTCTAGAAGCTGCTGGCCTCTTTTCACCACTCCTTTCCCATAGGCACACAACTGGGACCCAAACACTCTTTTGTCTTTTCCTCTGAAACTCTGCTTTGTGACACATGGGGAAAGGGGGAGTTGTGAGCAGCTTGCTTTCTTCTTCATTGTGTAATGCCACTTATAAACTCTGTCGATAGACACTTGGAAGGTGTCTAAAATGTTAGACAAGGAAACAGGTATAATTCAGAGGAAATCTGATCTTGACTGAATAGGGTCAAAATGCCTCAACCACCTCTTTCATTTGAAACTCCTCATTTACAGACTCAGCACTTCTTTCATTGTGGCTTAGAGCCGACAAATATACGTGGGGTTTGTGTTAGTCTGAAAGCTAAGAAGTGTTAAGGAAACTTCCCAGTGTGACCACTCAGGACACACTGCCAAGGACAGAGACTGTCACTGATGCCACCGAAGCCCCTTCCCAGCAGCAGCCGCAGTGACCGGGCATGTCCCACTCACGGTGCCACCAGGTTTCCCCGCCAGGTTTCCCCGCCAGGTTTCCCCGCCAGGTTTCCCCGCCAGGTTTCCCCGCCAGGTTTCCCATAGCAGAGTTTCAGGTGTCTCCTTCCATAACACAACTTATTCCTGTCACAGCGACGCAGGAGCAGCCCGAGCTGGCGCCTCCAAGGAGGACACCAGCCAAGAAACCCCCGGCCTTTCATACCTTATATACCTTTTATACCTTTTATCCTCTCCCCTTATCTCCCAGGGCAAGTCTCGCTCTTCGGCTCCCGCCCCGCTCTCCGCGTCCATCATCTCGCTGGCGTCACCCGTCTCCTTTGTTACCCAAAATATCGGCGATTCCTGGCTCCTGCTGTGTCTCTCAGTGTCCATTCACCTGGCTGGCATCCCCCATCTTCATGCCTTTGTTATCCCAAGGGTTGGCACTTCACGGCCTCTTGTCTCGGCCCCCACCCGCAGCTCAATCTACATCTCAATCTCCAGTTTGTGAGCCGGGTTACCTGGACCAGCAGCATTCCTCAGCAGCTGTTGGTCTGGATTTAGGGAATTCTGGGGTTAAACAAACTCTGTGGAGAACACACAATTTCTATCACTTCAAAATATTGTAGCACCAAATTGTGGAGAGTACAAAAATTTGTTTTTAGGAATCCTGTTTGGGTACCCCCAGGTATTAGCATCTAGCAGTTGAGCTCAAGCTCCAGCTTCCTAATTCCTGGGTCTATTTGAATATGTTAATTAAGCTCCCGAGGAACCAAAAAAAAAAAAAAAAAAAACCAGGACTGAGCTCTAAATTATGTGTCTAAGAGTTTGAATTTTCCTCCTGACATTTAGAAATCTAAGGCTATAAGCCACCAAAGGCTTTTGAACAAAATACTTGTGGTCATTTCCAGACTTGGCCACCACAGATATTTCTTGAGCTTCCTGGTGCAATATTTTATCTCAAGTTCTTTTTGCTGAGTATTCTAAGAATGATTTACCAAGATAGTTGATAAAGGTTCATATAGAATATATTCAAAGTATTTGTTTGCTATATTATGCATCTCTTTCAACCTGATTTTTTTTTTGTTATTATAGAAACCCCTTCTAGTGAAAGCTATTTGATCCAGGAAAGCATTAGCTAACCAACAAAGTTTGAAGCTTTTAAGTAATTCTCAGTATTTTTGTTTCAATATTTTTGTACATCTTTCTCTCTGACCAAAACCACAGATGGACAGGCCTGACTTTCTCATCACTAAGGATAATTTATATCACACCAGCAGTAAAAAAGGATCTGAAAAAAGTGTGGATGTACTTAGAGGCCCTTTAATATCCTTTCACACTATTGGAGTAGCAGACAGGAATCATTAGCTTATGTCCTCATCCCTTCTGTTTCTTTGCTGGGAAGTGCTTCAAACAGGACTGGTGCGGGTTGGGAACTGGCAACTCCTCCTCTCCTGTTCCTGAGCTGCTGAAGAACAGTCACATCAACACACTCAGCACAAGAGTGTTTCTTCACATTTATCTTAGGTTAGCACTTTCCTTTATTTAACTGTCTCTGATCTGACTATATCTGATCATTCCTTCATCTCATTTTCACTTAACCTTTTGCCCTCTACACAGACTAAGCATCCTATCAGATATCTCCCAAGGGACCTTCTTTTCCTCCCACTCCCCCTTTCTCCACTCTTTCTCCGATTTAGGTGCTTTATGCCACTCCTGCTAATTTACCTGATTACATGGAAGGAGCTGTAGATCTTTTTATAATTGCTGTTTTACTTAAAACATTGATTCTTTAGCTCCTGTCTGTTTTCTGGTCATCACACCTCACTGGAGGCTTCCCTGGCTTAATGAGCAATTCTGAAACCATAGGAAGAACCAGAAGATGGGGGTCAGTGTACATTCTGATATTTGAAATCCACTCCATAGCACCCACAAGAGGATTCTTGGCACCTGCCTAGTTAAACTGAATGTCCAGTGTTATCTCTCCAGGCAAGTAAGATTCTGGCAATCACTGTAGTCCTATTTCACTCCTCAGTCTTTTTGACACCAACACATTAATTCTCCTAAGCTCCTTTGTCAGATGTAAGAAGTTCTCTCTTTTTTTTTTTTTTTAATATGATTGATAATATTGAATATTTCTTTTAACCTTTTACTGCCATTCCTGGGATAGGTGATAGTTTTTGTTAATCTCCAGCATGCAGTAGCACATCTTCCAATCACTTACTCATTATGGAGTTCATTTGCAAAATGCTGCTGCTTAATTTATGACTACCTGTGAAGCCCCACCTACCATTGACCATCCAACTACTCCCACTGTCAAAGGTCATGTAAAGAAAATCATTGCTTCATACAGAAAATCCTTCTAGTTTAACACAAAGAATGTCAGTCCTTGAACAAAATTTGTCTATATGGTTTCATATGATGCACTGGAAAGGGTGCAAATAAAGCAGGTTCTCTGGTTCAAAGCAGGAAATGGCCCAACTGAAATGTAGTGGCAAAAAATTTCATCATTTTGTTCACTTCCAATTTCTTGGGGGAAAAAAATAAAAAGGTTGTCTGAGGAGACACAAATATGTAAAAACAAAAAGACCTCCCAGGAAGACTTGAAATATGTTCAAATTACACATCTACTCCCTGCTCCCTAGAACCTAGTAAATATTTCTTTGGCCCTGCAAAGTATTTTAGTCTGAACCCAGGAAACCTCAAATTGACCTTGAAAATAAGATTCCTCAGTATTCAAAGTAAATGTCTCAGCCGCATTACTGGAGGGGTTGCAGTTTTCTGATTGAACATATAAAACTTGTCTCTTTTGGTCAATGGGATAGATTATACTGCAGGGAACGGCTTGTTTTCCCAATTAGCTGACCACAAGCACTTTCAAACTCTCTTTCTCAACTTCTACATCTCAGTACAATGGTGGTGGAAAGGTTAAAATATCTGGTTTGTGCCAGTAGAGGCAGGGTTAAGCCAGTGAAAAGCAGTAGTGTCTATTTCAGTGGAGATACACCGACCTACCTTGCTGAGTGAGCAGCCAGAGCATCTCTCTACAGAGATTTTTGTCTTCTTCTCAGCTAGCAGATGGTTTAACAGCATTTGGTACTCTAGCATCCTTCCAGCATACCTTGAATCCCATCTGAGATTTTAGATTGACTATGTCTGGATTTGATCAGTTTTATCAGTTTATTTTCCTCTGATGTTTTTCTCCTCTGCCAGCTGCATCAACTCTTCCTCCACCCAAGACTCACTCTATGGTAAGTGTAATGAAAATATTCTTTTGAAACACTTTGACATCTTCTGACATCTGCCTCATATTCAGGTATAAATTTCCCAGGTCTAGTTATCAGTTCTCTGTAGAAAAGTGTGAGCATGTGTTCCACATGGACAAGAAAGGTCTCAAATTCCTCTTCTGTTGACTGGTCGATGTCTATCAGCTGATGAAGATCTCTGTGACTACAGCCTTCCTTAAATGTCATAGCCCAGACATAACTGCTTTCGTCCAACAATCTTGCATAAAACAGACCAAAATAACACTTGGACACTTTGATTAGCATCTACCATATAAATTGAATTAAACCTGTCTTTAATTCTAACAAAAAACCAAATGCAGTATTGGGTATTATGTAAAATAAGGTGATGCTTTTTCAGAATGAGCCTTTCTGTTTTTCCTTCAGCTTGAGTTTCTCACTTGAGGCCAAGCACACGTGTTGAAATGCTGTCAGCTAGTGTTTCACAGAGGCTTCTGGTTCAGGGCACCAGTGCAGGCACCCAGCTGCCCAAGCTGTGGCCCTTGCACCGTCCCCTTGTAGGTCCTGCTGACTCCTGGGTGTGCTCAGGCTTTCATTAGGTTGGAAGTTGTAGCCACGTGGTGCAGATTTAAGGGCTCTGTGTGGCTCAGGTAATATCCACACATCTGAGAAGGATGGTGCTGCTATCCAAACAGAATGAACCTTTGAACTTTGTTAGGCTTTTAATATGACGTTAAGCCTCAGATTTATAAAACCAAACCAGAACAAAACAAAAGCGTGCTTGCTTTCATTCTGTGTTCTGATTTTGCATTGGACTGTCAGCAAAGCAAACCTTTTACCTACAAACAGATGGCACACAATTCTGAGGGATTTTCCCACATTTGATGAACACACATCAAGTCCATTTACATGAGCATGGAAAATATTAAAATGACTACCAGATCTGTATAGTGTAAGACACCTGGAGCACATTGCTGCCAGCAAGCTTCTGAGGTGGGGATATTCTGGCACACAGTCACAGTTCTGGGGACTGGGCCATTTTTGACTCAGGTTATTGCATCTTTTGACACCTAAAGACATGTTCACCTCTGACCCAGAAACATCTGCAACGTCAAACTATAAAAACGGGAATGGAAATGTAGTTTTTTTTTTCCCCTTACTGTTATTTTTATTTTCTATTGAAAGGGGTTTTAAAAGGTCTATGAAATGTAAAATTTCTTTTTTTGCCATAGTTGCAAAACTCATTTCAATTTTTATCTGAGACGCACTTGTAGCAAATTTCCAGATTTGAAAAACTAATGCAATAATCCACTCTGAGGCCCAGAGTCTGAGCAGAGCCTGGGCTGCATCTCCGAGGCAAAAGGGGGACTGGGACAGTGAGCAGCCTTGTTCCCGTTCCCATCTTTCACCCCCACTCTCCCCCAACATTTTATATTGCTTGCAAAGTTCTTGTATGTTCTGGCTTTGCTTCCTAAAGTAGCTCTGGCTGATTTTAACTCACCACTTTTGCTCCTTTCTGTGCAGGCAAAATTGATAACCAGTTGGGCCATTACTGCTGCTGCTCTGACACGGCCCAAGATCAGAGCACCAGCCCTCCTGGTGACTGCACCAGGGCTGCAGGTTCTTCAACTGCAAACTAGTACCGACTGGAGTCTCCCTTTCACCTGTCTTGTTCCCATGCAATTTCTATGCACAGATTTTTGTCTCTTTTTCACTTAATTGTGCCTAGTAATTCTTGGCCCTAAAAACAGAGCTGGGACCTTTCTGTGTGTCAGTCTTCCCTCCTGTAGAATGAATCGTGTGGTTTGTAGTAAAATGGGAGTATCTTTGAATGAATAACACTATGTAAATCCCCAGATTTACTGTAGTCAATTTGTCATTTCATTTAACATGAGAGGTAGACTATAGGGCAGAGTATCATACTACGTTGATGGATAAGTTATTGCTGTAGTTGAGTTTGCCAAAATTAACACATTTATTATTGGAAAACAACAACAATGGGGAAAAAAAAGGCTCAACCAAGCAAAAAAACTTTGGAAAAGTTTCTCTTTTCTGAGTACAGGCATTTTATGTTAGAGCCTTAGAGCTGATTCTGTCTCTCCCAAGTTATAAACCCTTATGGATGCACCATAAACATGTCCACCTAATGCAGAGAAAAGCAGATTAATTGATCACAGTAATATATTCTTATCCACTGAATAAGAGCATTCCACACATTGTTTCTTGTTTTGTTTCTGGCTTGTAAATCTTCATTGTAGGATACAAATGAAAATGACCCAAATATGTATTATTTATGAATAGGACTCTCAGATATTATGCTTTAGATTGATTGTGTTAGACAGGATATAACAGAAGCACAATAAGTCAATGAAAAATAAAAAGCAGAAAAAATGTTTCATGCTAAAAATGTAGTTCTAGTGACACCTCTTATATAAAGGACATTTCCAACACATTGACATTTATATTTATCATAGCTATGCATGTGATTTACAGTTGTCTAAGGTACTGAATATCAGGAATATCCATGCACATACACACCCCTTTGAATGATGGCAAGACACAGACTGCTGCATTGCCCCTTTTACAGCAGGCTTTTCCTCCCCTTTTTATTTTTCTTCTCTAGCTTCAGGGACGCAGAGGAAGCAGTAGATCAATAGGGTGTCTTGACTGAAGTTGCCTGCAGCACTTCCATTTCTCAGACTGGACACTGATGCTAACTATCAATAGCAATAAGAGGCTGTCTCAGACAGAATTAAGGCTCCTTCTTCTGCATGGCTGTCTGGTGCTTACTGATAAACATCTTGTGCACAGGATTGCAACAAATAAACCATTTCAAGTGTGCAAACTAGCCACTGTCATTCTTCCTATTGATACTTGCAGTGGGCTGAAGGGACTGCTACTTATTTTCATACAGTTGATAACATGTTAGATAAGGATACAGAAGGATAATAGCGCAAAGGCATAATGCTATAAAGTGTAGAAAAATCATTGATGAAATTCTCTCTGCTCCTGTAGAAACCCTGAGACAACAAAAGACGAAAATATTGACTTATGTTCAAACTACTTAAGAGAAGCTACAGCTAAATTTAACTATTTATTAACCTCTGATTTTTAGGTAATGTTAAAGATATCCTGCCAGGCTATTTCATTCAGATATTTTTAATTTATCAGTCCTGGATTTGCTAGTCCATTCTGGAAATAAAAGTCACCAGGGGCTGGATGCAGGTATGATATAGATGGGGAGGTTTTGGGCAGCATCATTCACTGGTCATTTGGCCTGAGCTATACACCACACAAGCAGTTGCTAATTTTGGAATAACTGAACCACTTACCCTCCCTCCCTGAAAACAATCAATTTCTCAACTGATCTATATCTCTGTAGTGCATTCCTGGTTTTCAGCCTGAATAAGGATGAAGAATCAGGTTCACATGAAATCACCATTAAAATACCATGGCTGAGATCTTCTTGGTGGTAAGTCCTGAAAACCCTGCCTAAGTCAGATATCCAGTGGAGTTATGCCAATTTGCCAATGAAGAGCTCACATGCTAATTTGGGGTTTATTTTACTTTTAATTTTGCTTTAAATGGACTAGGGCGGGGGAAGTGGTTCAGATGCTCTGCTGTAAAATCAACAAAGCCTTATTTCATATCCCCCCTCTGTGGAGCTCTAACCATTTACAGGAGCAAACAATTTGGCTCTGAGACATCTCCAGCTTTATATGGTGTGGGCTTTTCAGATCAGGAGGTTTGTTTTCAGAGGGAAAATTCAGTGATACATTTTGAGTTTCAGACCATCTTAAACAGAATGTATCATGTAACATTGTCTTCTTTCATAACAATGTTTTATATTAAATTTAGAAAAGGCTAATGTATTTTATAGGATGAGATTATTCTGAAGATAGTTCTGTTGTTCCTAAATGCTAAAATTAGGATGGTTGATGGGAAAATAAATCAAATTTCCAATATTTTAGGGATACCACTTATGAGTAGCCCTACTGAAAATATTTGCGTAATAAGATTCCTGAATATGTCCATGAATACATGTATTCATACAAAAGTGAAATAAAATGTTAACTGGAATTTAATTTGGGAGAAGAAAGAACAAAAAAGGACATACTACATCTCATAGAATAATCACTTATGGATATAGATATTTTCACTCATTTTTTTTTCCTCTGTACCATGTGCTGCAGTCAGACTTGCCCACCACACAAGAGCAGTTTGGGGGTGGAATAGTTAATGTCTGTCGACTGCTCAGAATCACTGCTGTTATTAATTGTCCTCCAGTATAGAACATGTACATTTTGCATTAATACCCTGACTAGCGAGACAGAGCATGCAGTTTCTAGCTAGGGAAGCTGGAATTTCAGAAATAGCTTGGCTCTTCATTTTGATTACTTTCTGGCTGGAGAGTTGGAGTCAAGCTAATTCATTTTGTAAACATTGCTGGTCATTCATGTACAGTGCATGGCATGAATCAGGGCCGGACACTCAGGCGGGTGCAAGTTCAAAAGTCCAGATGGAAATTCCTGTCCCACTGCACACGCGTGGAACGATCCATGCACAAAGTAAAAAAGATCATACATGTACTCAGTCAAAATTCCCAGCCCTCAAAAAGGGAAGGTTTCCTTAAGAAAGGTGAAAAGACAAGGGCCCTCACTATTTGCTGATGAGCAATCCACCCCTTGCACCCTAACAGCCAGCTTTCTACAAATATTTATACAGCTCAGGGATACAGCTATGGCTGCAACATTTCAGCACAAATATTAGGCCACAACCTCAGCTTGTCTGAATTGGCCTCAGTGGCATTACAGTGATTTACAATAGCTGAGCTTCTCCTTCCTTTTATTTTTTTCCTTGGTGCGTCTGACACCGTATGCCCTACATGCTTCTTTCAGATGAAGAGTGCATTCATTTTAAAATAAAAAATCATTTTAAACCAAGCTCTTCATCATACTAAGGTTTCTCCCAAATTTTAAGGGGGCCTCAGCAAAAAAAGATGTGTTAAAGAAACAGATGTGTAGCACAGCAGCACGCAGTTGAGTTGAGGTGGTAAGGCAGAAAGCCACTCCAAAAAATTGATTCTTTTGTTAAAAAAAATTACAGATACATATATAAACTCACACACAAACATAAAATCTGGTTTTACTGCTCCCACTGAAGAACTCCATTGTGCGTGTAGGTTTAACAGCAGTTACACAGAAATGTAAGTACACAGTTGTGTATTATAATATTTGTTTCTTAATGACACTAAGCCAGAATTCTTCAAAACTACATGAAGTCTTTCTTTTTCCTCAGTTTTTTCAAAACAGAAAATATTAGTAAAGCAGTATTTCTGTTTCCAGTGTTACT